CAGAAACAAAGATCTGAGTATCACATGTTGTCACTCATATAGTGGACCTTGATCATCCAATGTATTACCATAAGAAAATGACTGACAGTTGTGGGAAACCATGGGGGGGAGGGGAAGGGAGATGGGATTAATGGTAGTAAGCATCTGTCTGGGGATGGGGCGACACCTCTTATCAACAAGGGTGCCTGAACGAAGCATATTTGTATACCTAACCCTTAACTGTACCCCACAATATCATAATAAAAAATATTGATTATAAAAATAATTAAAAAAAAAGAAATAAAAAGACAAGCCACAGATTGGGAGAAAAGTATTACCAAATCACAAATAAAGCCTTGTATTCAGAATTTAAATGAACTTTCACAGGTGAATAAGAAGACCAACAATGCAACTAAAAAAAATGAACAAAAAACTTGCTTAGACATTTCACCAAAGAACACATATGAATGGCTTATAAGCACAAAAAGTACTCAATATCATTAGTCATTAGGACTATGCTAACTAAAACCACAATGAGATACCATGACATACCCACTAAATTGTCTATAATAAAAAAGATAGACAATATCAAGTGTTGGTGAAGATGGGAGGATCTGAACCGTTACACATAGCTGGTAGGACTCTGAAATGATTTTGCAACACAGTTTAGTAGTTTCTTAAAGCTAACTTATCATATGACTCAGCAATTTTAGGAATCTACCAGAGAGGAATAAAAACCTAAGTCTATACATTCATGTCTTTCTTATTCATAAGAAAGCCAAAATTGGAAGTGATAAGTACCTACCAAATAGTGTATGGATTAACAAAATATGGTAAAACAATATAATGAACTACTATTCAGCAATGGAACAGGAACAAAATGCTGATAACATGCTATGTAATAATTGAACCTCAAAATATGACAAGTGAAAGAAGTTAGATCCAAAAGACTACACACAGCATGATTCTTTTTAGATAAGATGTCCAGAAAAATTTATAGAAAAAAAAAGTAGATCACCAGTTGCCTGGGGCTGAGGGAGGGGTATGCGAGTTGAGAACTCACTACAAATACAGTTGAGGAAAATTTGGGGAGTGATGGAAAGTTTCTAAAACTGGAAACCATTGAACCGTATACTTATAATAGATGAACTTTGAATTATGTAAATCATATCTCAATAAAGTTGTAAAATTAAAAAAAAAAAAAGAAAATTCAGTGGAATTAATGAGAGCAGGAAAGAACATGAGTGGCCTTTAATTCAAGGCAGGCAAGGCAGCTCCCAGAGAGTGGTGGGGCTGAGAGTTGGGGGTGGGACACGGAGAAGGGCCTTGGCCTCTTCTCTTGACATCTCTGAGCTGTACTTTCTCCACTCCTTCTGGGTCACTCAGTTCTCCTCCATGTCCTTGATGTAGCCCTGGACCCAGCTGTCACTGGGGTTGGTACAGATGGCATGGCCCTTTTTGGTGATGAAGCTGTGGGACAAGAGGGAGAAGGATTATGAACCGAGGGGTCCAGCAGCTGGAAGAGAGAGCTCATCCTTCCTCCCTCCCAAATTGCCCACCTGACCTAGACTGGTTTTCCCTCCTTTGATAGAGGGAACTAAGGGCCAATCTCCTCTCTGAGACGTGCTCTTCATCCCCTAGGACCCCAGGTCCATCTAGTCTCTGTATCCCCCCAAGGAAGTGCCCTCTTGTCTTCTCCTGACACGTCCCATCCGTGAGGCCAGCTTCCACATGGCTCCTGCAGGCTTCAGCAAGAAAACCCCTGGTTGCCCATGGGCTGCCTCTCTCTGTGTAGTTACACCTGGGGGGTACCCTGGGGGAGTCCTCATTCCATATCCTCTTTACCCCTTACCCCCCACAGGCTCTGCTCCTCCCTCTCCCCAAGTGTGGTGTGTGGATGCCACCTACACGACTCCAGGCTTGGAGCACTGGCTGCTGGTCTCATAATAATCTGTAATCAGGTGACGTGGAATCTTGCGAGTAATGTAGGAGAAGCAACACTCGGCAGGGTGGTAAGGTCCTCCTGAGGAGAGAACACGGGGGTGCTGAGGTGGGTCCCCTTGTTAAAGTGAGACTGCTTCTGCCAGCCGAGAGGGTGAGAGAGGGAAGGAAGGAGGAGACCGCTCCACAGACCTTGGCGAGTCAGAGCTTAGTCCTCACGCTTCTCTCTCCACAATACTCCTTGGGTTCCTCTTTCCCTCTTCCTTCAACTGTAGCCACCCTCTCTCCTTTTTTTCACCCCCTCCTGGAGAGACTGGCTCAGAACTTTGCACTCCAAAGAGCAGCAAACCCAGATCTCAGTGAGCACACCTCCCCTCTGGGGGCTGACTTGCAGAGAAGACTGGTGACTTGGCCAACATCACACCACCTGCATACCTTATTCAGAAAAGATGCTCCAGAAAGGAGGGATATTTGAAAGAAATCCCAATAGGAGTTAGGAGACATGCCATTTGGAAATGCAGGCCTGGTGCCTTCTATTCCCCCATCTTTTTTTTTTTGAGTTGGAGTCTCACTCTGTCGCCCAGACTGGAGTGCAGTGGCCGCTCCTGGCCACCGCAGCCTCGACCTGCTGGGCTCCGGCGATCCTTCCGCCTCAGCCTTCCAAGTAGCAGGAACTACAGGCATGCGCTACCACACCTGGCTGATTTTTTTTTATTTATTGTAGAGATGAGTTCTCGCTGCTCAGGTGGGTCTTGAACCCGCGGGCTCAGGCAATCCACTCACCTCAGCGCCCAAAGGCGCGGGATTACAGACTGAGCCGAGCCCAGCTATTCCCCCTTCTTACCCATGTCCCCATTGAACCTACAGCTTGCAGAGAAGAAAGGTCACTCACATCGAGCCCCAAGGACAAGTGGTCACAGAGTCAGGACACCCAAATCCTAACCCAGATCAGTCTTTGGTTTCTTTGTCCTGTGACTGTTTTACTTTTTCTCTCAGTTTCCTCCTCCACAGACGAAGCCTTTGGATGGGATTGGTGGTTTTCACACAGAGTTCTCTGGGGCTCTGGGGGCTTCAGGGACTATCTTGGAGGTCTTGCTGCATTTGAGAGTGGTGTCTTGGGGACTGTACTCCATTCAACCTTTTTTATGTTTTCTGTCTTGCATATTGGGTCTCAGTGGGTGATTCTGCTTGAGGAAAAGTTTTCATGGTCTAAAAAACTTTTAAAAATCACCGGATTAGGTAATTTTTCAGGTATTTTCTGATTTTGAAATTTCATGGCTCTCATAGAAGGAGTAGTGGGATGACAACAAAGCTTGAATGATCGAGGTAGTAGGAAAAGCTTTGCAGGCCAAGGGCCCTGTACAGACAAACATATGCTGTGGTTACAGGGTGTGGAAGTATGATGTGCCACATTAGGTGACCAAGCTGGACAGAAACGTGGGTGGGCATTGCGATGGCCTCAGAGGCACTGAGGGTGACCAGATGCTTGGGTGGAAAGGGAAAGGCCTGGTCCTGTTACCCAGCACCATGGTAGGAAGCATCCTCACTAGCCAAAGAATGGAATAAGGATTCCCTGGTCCCCAAGACCCACTCAGGGCTCTGACGCTCCCACCTCATTTCTCTGAACTGACAAATGACTTCCAGGGGCAAATCAAACTGCTTGATTCCCATTAACCTTAGACTAGCCTTATTTCAACAAGCTTCTATGTTTCCCCCCAGTTTCTAAAAAGGAAAAGGGGAAAAATGGAAAGGTGACAAACAGTTTGGTTTTCTGTAAAGATAGCTCATCTTAAGGAATAAGCTCAGGAAAGGTGGCCTAAGAGGGACCCCACATTGTCGTGTTTCCCCCAGCCCATACCCAAATCATGATGCACTCACAGGGCACAGGTGATGCTGGAAGCAGGTCAGGCCCAAACCTCAGGAGGCCAATAGACAAATGACTTTGAAGGGCTCCAGACATTGCTCCTCAATCTCCCTGGGGATAATACCCCCCAGATGGGGTGGGCCGGTCTTTTGCTTAATGACAAAGAGAGAGGAATTGAGGGGGTAGAAAGGCAGGCTGGACTTACTCCATGACTTTGAGGTCAAGGGGAGAAACCAGTTTAAGAAAATGCCAGACCTCCTTCTTGGCTCCCTCCTCCTTGTCTCCCCTGCCACCTTATTCCTGCTTATTTCCCCACAGGAACTAGTCAGAGGAAGACAAGGTGTTGCACTCACGTGAGCTGGATTCAGCCTTCGCCCCTAGGGTGATGGTGATGAGGAGGGAGAGGAAGATGGCAGCCACGGAGACCTTCATCCTGGCAGGAACTGCTGCAGGAGAGAGCTGACCTGGTGGAGGCTTCGGAGGCTCCTGGAGTGAGGAAGTGTTGAGAAATGATCATTGAGGCAAAATATTTTTTAAAATAACGGAACTAAGATTTGGAAGGGAAGTAGAAAGGCAGCGATGCCTCAGCGATTTCATATCCTGCACATTTGTTGAGGGCAGCGTGAAGGAAGCATGGAGAGCCGAGGTTTAAGGGAGGACATTCCCTCCCCTCCTCAGTGAAAGAAGCTTAACTCTTCTGATACAAGCCCTTCTTCAGGCATAGACCATGAGTACAGGGCTAGGGGCCGTGTCTCAGACTTAGTGAAAGATCTCAAGCCCTTTGTGTCCTGTGCCAATCTCAGGTCAGGTCTTGGAAGAAGGCCAAAGCCATGTAGGTCCCAGAGATTTAGGATCTGTTTAATCAGGAGACCAGGGGACATTTGGGGGTAATGGGATGAGGCTGAAGTCCCCTGAGTCAGGCTTCATCAGTCAGTACTGGGAGATCCTCACTTGAACTCTTCAGCAGAACCTGCAGTTCCCAGCCTCATCCCCACCCCCTAACCACACCCATGAGGTGAAGTGCATGATGCTCTGTAGGTAATTCATTTATATAATGGTTGGCATGCACACTAGCCACTGTCCCAAATGCTTTATGGATATTAACCCATTAACCTTTGTGGCAACAACTGAGGAAACTGAGGCTCAGAAGCAAAGTTCAAGCTTTGACAGTTGATACATGGCACTGGGACTCAGACTCAGGCAATCAGCCTCCCAAGACTGTGTTCTTATCCACTATGCTGTAAAGAAACATGGGGGCCCCAACCGATCTCACTAGAAATGTCCTGACTGGCTTGGTTCTCTATGAAGCCTGTATTTAGTCTTAGCCCTTTCTGAATGCAGGTAGTGGATCCCTATGGGACCTTCTCCTGGTTTCTGACTTTAGCTACCGAGAAGCAGATGGGAACCTTAGCCTGGTTCAGAGAAGGCTAGTAGGTTTTCTTGGTTAGTGGTGAACTGGAGCTCTGTGTTGGAAGCTATTCTGAGGCCATGTCCAAGCACACTGGGAAGAGGTGTGGAGACTGATGTGTAGTTTTTGTTACAGAACAGCTTGTATGCTCTGTATTTGCCACCCTCAGATTAATCTAAACTGGCCATTTGCTGGATGGAAGCTGGGACTCAGAAAGGGCCAGTGACTTGCTCACATTCACACAACGATTCAGATACAGGACAGATCCCAGCCCTGCAGACTCTCAGTCTAGTGCCTTCACCATGCTGTTCTTGGGGGTACTTCCTCCATTTCACTTGCTGCTGTGGTTAGATGGCTGTTTAATCTCCTCTCTTTGCCTGGAATCATCAGGTCAGGGAACATCTATTATTTATCTTTGCCCACTCACACAAAGCCTAGCATATACCAGGTGATTTATAAATTAGAGTTTTAAAAATATTTTTTATTTTAAAGATGGGTACAATTCAGGGTTGGGTATACAAATGGTCACTGTACAGGTAGGACTTGGGCATCAGTTTTATCCCACTTTACCTAGTTTGAGATCAGATACCCTTATTGATAAGGTGTGCCTCCCCTTCCCTGGCAGTTTCCCACTACTGCCAATCCCTTTCTTATAGTATTATGATAATTGCTCGGAGTCCACATATGAGTGAGAGCATGTGGTACTCAGTTCTTTGTTTCTGTGATAGATCACTGAGTATTATAGACTGTAAATCCATCCAAGTTGCTGCGAAGTTCATAATTTTGTCCTTCATGGCTGTGTAATATTCCATCATGTCTATGTACTACACTTTTAAAATCCAGTCCACTTTCAGTGGGCAGCATGGTTGATTCCATGAAATATATGTTTTACAAGAAGGATGAATAAATAAATTGAGTGTGGTCTAAGTATCTTTATCTCACAGGAAATGGCTAAATTATCATGGTTAGGTATGGAGACTGCCATTCATGAGAGATTTTCTGTATCTGTTATCATCAATAACAACACTATTTAAACTACTCAAGGCCAGGCTTGGTGGCTCAGCCTGTAATCCCAGCACTTTGGGAGGCCGAGGTGAGTGGATTGCCTGAACCCATGGGTTCAAGACCCGCCTGGGCAACTTGGTGAGACCTCATCTCTACAATGAATAAAAAAATTAGCCGGGTGTGGTAGCGCGCATCTATCATTCCAGCTACTTGGAAGGCTGAGGTGGAAAGATCACCAGAGCCCAGCAGGTCAAGGCTGTGGTGGCTGGGAGCGGCCACTGCACTCCAGTCTGGGTGACAGAGTGAGACTCCAACTCAAAAAATAAAATAAAAAATAAATAAACTACTCAAACCAAATAACAATTGTCATTAGGAACAATCTCAGGAAACAGATTGTTTCTGAGAGAATATGAATTGGAAAGAAATAATGTTTACTTCTTTGTTTTCAGGGAGACTAGCCAATCTGCTAAGTTGTTGATAGGAGCCTTATAGGAAATTCCTTTTTTTTCCTGGCAATTATTGAGTTCCTGCCTACATTAGTCTGTATATGCTAACTACTAAAATAAACAACACAGAGGATTATTAAATAAAGGTTTATTTATTGCTCATGCCACAGTCCAACGTGAGTCAGTAGTGGGATGACAGTGTATGTATTGGAGAGGGCTCTTCCGTGCACTTTATTCAGGAAACAAGTCTTTTTCTAACTTCAGCATAAGGCCTTCCAGCTTGATTCCAAAGGGCAGAGCAGAGGAGAAATGGAAGATTGTTATGGTCCAGTTCTGGGAATGGTATAAATTACTTTCACCCACAGTCCAGGGCCAATATCAAGTCACTTGGCTCCAACCTAATGACAGAGGGATGGAAAATATATATCATCTGTGTGCCTAGGAGGGAAAAGGAATAGTTTTCATGACCACATGACTTATTTGCCCCTATATTATATGCCAGGTACTATGCTAGGCTTGGAGGGAGGAAGTGAAGATGACTCTGGTCTCAGAGGACTCATAGAAGGACTCAAGGCTGGGTGTGGTGACTCACACCTATAATACCAGCACTTTGGGAGGTGGAGGTGGAGGATTGCCTGAGCCCAACAGGCCAAGGCTGTGGTGGCTGAGAGTGTACCACTGCACTCTAGCCTGTGCAACAGAGTGAGACTCCAACTCAAAAGAAAAAAAAAAGGGACTCAGGAAAGTAAAGGAAAACTGCAATACAGTGGGATAAATGGAATTTGGCAGCAGCATAATTAGGGAACTTAAATGTTCTCCTGTTGCCCACAGGTGAGTATGCAGAGCCTATTTAAAAATGATTTAAAATGTTTTTCAGAGCAAAATGCATGTATCAGTTTAAAAAATTGAATATGCAGGAAGAATATGTAGAACATAAACTTTCTGAGTTCATCTTATCTGCAGAAGTCATTATTCAACGCTGACACTTGATTGATATTTTTGCTGGGTATAAAATTCTACATTGGGAACATGAGAATATGTTTCTTTTGGAATTTTTTTTTTTTTGAGTTGGAGTCTCACTCTGTTGCCCAGAATGGAGTGCAGTGGCCACTCCTGGCCACTGCAGCCTCAACCTGCTAGGCTCCGGCAATCCTTTGGCCTCAGCCTTCTGAGTAGCTGGAACTACAGGTGCATGCTACCACGCCTGGCTGATTTTTGATTTATTGTAGAGATGAAGTCTTGACAAGTTGCCCAGGTGGGTCTCGAACCCATGGGCTCAGGCAATCTACTCATCTCAGCCTCCCAAATTGCGGGATTACAGGCTGAGTCACCAAGCCTGGAAATTTTACTTGAGGTCATCTTGTGTTTGCCCTCCCTAGAATATTTAGGATTTATTCTTTAGTTTTTTATTTTTTGTACAAAAATATATCCCATGCTGCATTAACCCATTAAAGGAATACCTGAGGCTGGACAATTTATACATAAAAGAGGTTTATTTGACTCACGGTTCTACATGGCACTGGCATCTGCTTGGCTTCTGGTGAGGCTTTGGGAAGCTTTTACACATGGTGGAAGGCAATGGGAGATGGCATGTCACATGGTGAGAGCAGAAACAAGAGAGAGAAGGGAGAGGTCCCAGGCTCTTTTTAAGAACTGGATCTCTACTTTAACTCATTACTGTGGGGAGGGTACCAAGCCATTCATGAGGGACCCTCTCCAATGACCCAAACACCTCCCACTAGACTTCACCTCCAACATCAAAGAGCACATTTCCAGCTGGGCCTGGTGGCTCAGCCTGTAATCCCATGCCTTTGGGAGGCTGAGGTGAGTGGATTGCCTGAGCCCGCGGGTTCGAGACCCGCCTGGGCAGGTGAGACCTCATCTCTACAATAAATCAAAAAAAATTAGCCGGGCGTGGTAGCGCGCGCCTGTAGTTCCAGTTACTTGGAAGGCCGAGGCGGAAGGATCCTGGAGCCCAGCAGGTTGAGGCTGCGGTGGCCGGGAGCGGCCACTGCACTCCAGTCTGGGCAACAGAGTGAGACTCCACTCAAAAAAAAAAAGAGTACATTTCCAACATAAGATTTGGAGGGAACAAACATCTAAACAATATCATTCTACCCTTGGCCTACCCTAAATCTCTTGTCCTTCTCACATTGCAAAATATAATCATGGCTTTACAATAGTCCCCCAAAGTCTTTTTCCAGCATCAACACAAAAGTCCAAAGTCTCATCTGAGACTCAAGGCAAGTTCCTTCCACCTATGAGCCTATCTGCTTCAAGATTCCAGAGAAAGGGAGATGAAGGGAGATGGGTCCTTCTGGCTGAATGCTGGGGGAAGGTTTTATGGTAGCAACTAATTTGAACCTTTGAGGTTTCGTTGAGTTTTTCTGGGCAGAGTTGAGAGGAGAACTCTTTTGGAAGAGGGCACTGCAAAAGCAAGGAAACAAAGAGAACATGCTGTTTTTGAGGAACTGTGAAAATACAGTATGTGAGTATTATGCAATTAACCTGCTCATAACATATTTTTGTCCTCTCCAGGATCTCAAAGACCTCTGTGAGTGATCAGATGCTAG